CGCGAGTCCGCCTTACTGCTGCTGTTTCACAAACTTTTAAGAAGCATGCATAATTGAGAAAAGTATTGCCTGATTTGTTGATCATGCTATGATGCATAAAATACTAGTAATATTCAGTTGTCTTTGACACTTAATGATAAATTCCGATTTTGATTGGTAATCCTCTAAACTAAATTCAAGTTATTTTCATTAGGCCTATTCGAAATTATGTGTTTATTTATATTCGAAATCAGTGTTTTTATTTATATGTAAAACGCAAAAATAATTTGATATTGGGTTAAAATTACAGCTTTTGTCAAATTCTGCATGATGAATTTTATCTTTAAAAAGAAGGAAAGAAAGAAAGGAAAAGGAGAATGAAAAAATAGTGAAAAATAAATCAATAGATAAAAAACCGGTCCAAAATTTGCATAGTGTAAAAAGCTAGAATTTTCATAATTCCCAAAATCGGAAATAATGAAGCGTAAAATTCCAAGCCCCTCATGCACAATATCTTACTTTTATGATTCAAGGTCCCTTGGGTTCCCTCATTTTCTTGCTACCCATTTCCTGTGTTTCTCTAGCTAGACTGGGTATCATATGTATGTTAATAGTGTTTATGCTTTGCTTTGGCCGTTTACTCTCCCACCTCAGCGCCACGAGCACAGGATATGTGCCATATAAATTAAGTTATTAACTTTGCTACGCACCAAGTATTTTGCAAATTACTGATGCCGGCTTTATTACTTATATTAGGAGTTTACATAGTCGTGTAACATGGGCGGAGAGAGTGGGAGGTTCGTTTTAAAAAAACTCGCCTTTTTTAAAATTTTAAGCAGCATTATTTCTCGACCACCATTGTAATCTGTCAAAAACCTAATGAAAAAGACACGACTTTTCAGCTTATTTAAACAAAAATTCTTGGCACTGTTCCTTTTGCCATTAGCTCCTCCTAACACATGAGTCAGTCCCTTTGCCCGGGCCCTTTCCCCTGCGATCTTCAGTCCACGCGACCGTGTCTGGTGCTTTCTCGCTGACAGCGAATACTCCCATTCCGAGTTGGCCTTTGCTCGGTCTTAGCTTCTTAGCTTTGATTGCGTACAAATGTGTTCTTTCTTTCATTGAAGTCCATTGTATAGTAAGGAATGTACGTACCATACTAGTTGATTAAAATGCCACGCCCCCGGGGGGGGGATCCACCAGAATTTGGTGCGAGTACCCCCCCCCCCTCCCGGGATGCCACGGGCTTTGGTTGAATAGCTGAATATTTTAACGCACAACCCGACTAACGCTGAGCAAAGGCCAACCCGAAACTGGAGTATTAAATCCCACCCAGTCCTTGTTATAAACCGAAGAGGCGTCCACCAATTGAGAGTAGATATAGATTATTAATTGCCTTCATACTTGTGAGAAGTCCTATCAAGTGCCATTCTACGTAGGAGGATGCCCGGGGAGGATGAAGACCAAAATTAAATTTGAAACTCCCAAACGTTGATAAACGGTAAGAGGACACTATATATTTGGTATCAGGGCCGTAACCAGGGGGGAGCATAGGGTGCACGTGCACCCCCCTTAAAACCTTAAGGTCCGCTAACCTATCTCCTTTTGCTTTAAAATTACATATCCCTCGCCCATTATTGCTCCTTTTATTTTTTCAGGTTCTGCAATTCTTTTTTTTTAATTTTTTTGTTCTGCAATAGCGTTTTCGTTTTTTTTGGATCTGCAATAGTTCCATTTCTATCCCCTGTGCACCCTCCAAGCAATATCCCTGGTTACCCCCTCTGCGTATAATTGTCTTTTTTCTTTTCTTTTTTTATACTTTGCTGTGAAGCCCAGAAAATATCAGTGCGCGTAAGTATAATTCGTAATAATTGCCGGAGAACCATCTTTCAATATAATTTATTTTTTGTTCGATACCAATGACATATATCATGTCACAAAGAACATATACAAACTAGCTACACTCAGTGAGTCAATCAAAGAATATTACTGAAATGAAGGGATTTCAGTGGTCGGATATAGCATTCTCTTTGTACTGGTTTTCTCGGTTTCTTTTCAATAATTGGTTTATACAGTATTCGCTTTCTTGGCCAACTTCGGTTAGTCTCAGGTCCATGGTTCGGATGGTCGTATTCTCATCCATACCTTCTTGTAGTGACTTTCCACCATCCTGGGTTAAGGAAGTAAGACATGAAAAAGGTAGTAAATGATGAAGGAATACGAAGTGATAGGGAGAAGGAAGGAAGGAGGGAAGGAAGGAAGAAAGAAAGAGCCAAAAAAGCAAAAGCGCAGTAAAAAGATGTCAACTCACAGGACCAATCTTGTTGCAGGATAGGTTAAGATCAATAAGAGCCTTGTTCGTAACTAAAACCTGAAAGAAAGAAAAAAGGTAATGAAGGTATAGCGTGATTTGAACGTGATTTGATACCCTTAAAACCTTCTTATTCAGACAGGCAATTATTTTCTTCTTTATTTTAACTTTTCTTTTCTTTTTTTCTCTTATGAGTTTTTTATCTCTTCTTCTTTCTAGTTTTGGCTATATATTTTTTGTCTGTTTTTCCTTTCTTTGTATTGGATATCGTGACGCGTATTTGAATTGTCATGGAATTTACGGTATATAAATGAAGGAAGGAAGGAAGGAAGGAAGGAAGGAAGGAAGGAAGGAAGGAAGGAATAATAATAATAACTATCATTAGTATTATTATATCACACTACAGAGACGTAAGCTGCCGTTTTCTATTACTTTCATAAAATACTTTTGAACGATATTGCATGAGCACGTCTCTGTCCTCTGATATTAACACAGTAGCCAGCCAATCAGCGCGCGCGTTATATTTCAAATATTTAATGAATTATACTAAAACGTACCAATACTGAAGGTTGCTATATATTTACCTGGGCTAGGACTGCCGCGGTAGGTTCACCCAAGTCGTTACTTCCAATATGTACATGGGTTAGGTGATCGTTTTTCAGTAGAGCTCGACAGATAGCTTGACCACCATCGTCTCCAAGTCTTAGGAGAAAACGAAATAGATGAATAACCTTTTCGTTGAAAATGTGAAAGTTGCAGGCAGGATTTTTAATAATCTTAATTTGAATTGTTTTGAATCTAACGAAGCCAGAGTCACATGTCGAATATTAAAAAAAAWTTTTCGATGATAGCTTTTTTTGTACAATATCACTATTCAGCTCCGAACGGACTTCAATTATGTGGGAATCAAGTGGGTGCCAATTGGGTACCCAATTGTCAGTTAATTACTTACCCCATTGGCAACCTAAATCGTGGTTGGTAGAGCAGTAGTAGGGACTTTAAGATTCGCAAAATCTGCGACGGCGACGTCTACAGGAAGTGTAAATTACGGCACTTTGGGGTTTCGAGTCTTTAAAATTCCCTGCGGATGAGTTAACATTACTGATAATTTCTTAAATGAAATCTCCAATGAACAGAACCCCAAAGAGAAATTATTTACACTACCGGTTGACGTCGCCGTAGCAGATTTTGCGAATCTTGAAGTCCCTAATTATCTTTTCTCACTTCTGAGCTCTGGTTTAATTCCAAGACTCAAGTAAAATGTGAGTAGAGTATRTGTTAGGTCTGTCCCTTGAATTGAGAGTTTTCTCCCAGTTCTCCAGTTTTCCTCCCATCGCATACCCTGGGGGCCAGTGGCCCTCCTCCCTCTTTCTCGCTAGCCCCCAAGCCCCACACGGGCCTCTGGCACCCAGGGTACCCATCGCAAAACCTACCAGGCTAAAAAAACTCGGCCTATGAGTGAGATCCCAGAGGTGAGAGGCGAATATATTAACGCAACACTACTCAAATTCTCCGTAGTAGTAATGATAAAACAAAGTTTACTGTTACAAACTCACCGGTTCATTCTCAAGTTGATCTCTTTCAAGGTGTGGTTCTTGCCGAGGGCGTGCCCAATGGCTGCAGCTCCATTGGCGCGTATTTTGTTATCACAAAGATCCAGCTTCGTTAATTTACACCGTCCATTTATAAGTTTACCGATAGCTCTTGCTCCACTGTCACCGATCTTATTGTGGGACAAGTCTGGAAAAATAGAGAAAAAGCACCATGATTAGAAAACGGTTCAAAGGTTAGTTAGCGCGATAACTTTTTAAACTTTTTGCTGACAAAATAAAATGTAGATGTAGATGTAGGAAGGTTCTGCCTCGAACAGTGCAGTCCATCAGTTATTTCAGAATTTATTCCCAATTTAGATCACCATGTATATTTATTGAGTATTATTTCCTTCTCTATTGGTGGCACTTAAAGCGTCAGCAAAACCTTTAACAGGACATAGCTAACTCCCAGATCAAACCCTGAAACAACCTCTGGGCTGATCTAAGTCAGGACATGGCTAACTCACAGAT